ATACCCTGATTTCCCATTTTCAATGGGTTCAGGGTATAAAAATATAAATATATATTAAAGATTGTATATACTTTTTATATGAATATGCCGACAATTTAAGACTGCAGTTAAAATGTCAGTTCCTGGATATGTCCCTCAACAGAATGAAATATCGTAGGGTGAGCTCGCAGCTTAAAGTCTTAAAACGATTTTAGTACTTTGTGTGGCACACGGCACGAGGTCCGCCTTGGCACAAGTATAAAATATGTAGAGCTATGGAACAGAGGCCGTCATCTGCAGCTATAAATAAAAAGTATTAAATTTATATTTATGTATTTATTTAAGCTCCAAAGGGGTCGAGTCACCACATTGACCGAGTCAGTAGAAGAGATTTCTAAAAGCTGAAAGCAACTCTTTTTTGTTATGGCATCAATTGGCAAGTATGTGGCGCTTGGAGGTGAACGGGCAACAATTGGGGTTTCACTCTATTGACCCAACACATAAACCATTCACGTTTACAGCACGTGTGGCCTGCTCATAAAGGAGTCACGACCTCGAAAATCTAATTGCAATTAGCTGTGGGTCACTAAGAGTGGAGCGTGGAGGAATTGCCACTTCCCAATCAGGCAGTTCATGCCCAACGACAGTCCTATGGGGCCTAGGTGTCGACAGCCAACACCAGTTTGGTGTATCTGGTGGAAAATTCAGCGCGTGGCTTCCTGCAAGAGCAAACTGAACGTAAAGCTCGCAGAATATTAATTATTTTTCAGATTTTTGCAAAAAGCACGCCTGCTCAATGGCAGGCCACAAGCTTGGCAACGAACTTTTATTAGCCGATTTGGGCGGCGTCAATCGATATACATATTCCCTATTAGTCTCACCAACCGAGTGCTACTTCAGAAAAGTTTTGAATTAGATGCTTTGTTGTTAGTTGGCAGCCTCCATAGGCCAGCGAAAGCGACTGCCAGCCGAAGTCGACTGACTGGGTTGAGGCTGAGCTAAACTCGAATCTCTGTGTGCATCGGGAACTTGAAGTGCCCCACTGCCTGAATGAAAGACGCGCTTGAAACGAAACGTTTTCAACGCCAGTTTTGGGAAAAAGAACATCAGCTGAGCAGACCTCAGCAGAGTGGCTCGCACTTTAATAAAACACAGGCATATATACATTTATAAAAGAAATGAAAAAAATAATTTAACTTATAGCAAATGTCCTGCGGCTTAAGTCCACAGAGCCCTCTGACCTCAATCAATTTAATTGCATTTTTTTACGCAATTTCGACAAATCGCCTCGAGCAAAACAAACCTCCTAGGCGACCAGCCTATCGCTTTTAAAAAACTTTTTCAGCTTGCTGCCGCGCGCTCTTCAATATGGCAGGAAGACCCAGAGCAAGTCAGCGTCAATGCGAGAGTGTGAGCTGGACATTAATTTTGATTACAAATAATTCATGCAAAAATTCATATAATACTAATAAAATCTTTCCACTAAGAATGCCATTTGAAATTGGTTTGTCTTTTATACATATTCGGGAAGGGAAATAAGTATATTGGTTCCTAAATAATAAAGGCATAGCGTATATTTACATGTCCATTGTCAAAACGGTCAAATCTTCTAAAGTATTTCTCTTAGCAATTAAATATTTAAAGACTATTGTTGAGCTAAAAACTATATGAATGAAGATATAAGAGCTAGAGACTTGAAATCACGGGCATATCGAGTTTTCCCTAAAAATCGATAACTACTTTCGATATGTTACTATCGATTAAAAACCTTATCGAAAGCTAAATTTTTAACTAAGTATGCTATAAATTCTTCGAAGGGTGCAGCGAATTTCGCAGTATCGACTAGAGCATTCTTTCTTGTTTTATACACTAAATAGATCCAAATAAATATGACTGCATGAATAAAATGTTATTATTAAAAAAATAAATAAATCAATAGATCAAATAAACAATGACTCAGGCGTTCTCTGAGAATAGCTCAAATAGCTAAAATTTGTTTGGTATTGAAACCCTTTTTTTTAACAATTTCATTTCGAAGAACTTTGTAACTTGGATTTAGAAAATTTCAGGTCACTCATAATAGAATAATGAAAATGCTTAGAGTATTTCGGGCTTAGGCAAAGGCATTCCAGACTCTCTTCAAATACATCGTGGCAGACCTTTTTCCATCAAAGCTGATATCTGCGTGACATTTTTGTTTTATTATGTTGCTTTTTTCCCATTTGTGTTTTGTTATTTTCATGCTGCCATCTTTATTTCGAGGCGTATTTATTTATGATTAAAGCTTGTTATATCTTGCGGGATGCGGGTCGACTTTTTGTGAGGTAGAAACCAGCGACTGCGTTTTGAACGCAATTACATTTGACGGAGGGAAAGTCTATTAAAATGCCTGGCTGCCGAACTGACTGGCTCCGAGGCAGCCAGGCACCCCGTAGTCACGGCACCCTGTGGAGCCTACCAGGGCAGCGTTGTTGCTATCGCCGGCGTTAAGTTAGGTCTGAGTAGACAAAGGCGGATAAGACATATTGTCAGAATGGTGTTCGGTACATGCTCAAAATTCCTATGAGTGTGCGTTAGATAAATCATAAAGCAAACATAATTTAATGCACGCACAACCACAGACGCACACGCAGACACATACGCTTACGCACACCCATACGCACACGCACCCTCACACCCTGCGTGATACATTCTTTCTTGTAAGCTGCACAGCAACAGCCGGATAACTGTGCGTATGTGAAATATTGTAAGCGTGTTAATCATACGCCACGTATGGGCTGCCAAGTTGAATAATCAGCTCAGCAGAAGCAGTAAAGAAAGTCGCATGTGAAATACGATTTAGGAATCTTGTTGTTGT